GACACTCCTTTACGTGTACACATACCATCTTTTTATGAAAATGCTAACAACAGTCAATTTAACATCTGTACCAATGCCAAGGATGCTATTTTACAAAGATACATTTATAATAATTATGTTATCATCCCTCCAAGTTCTAATATTTTTGAAGAACTTAACAGAGAGGAAATTGAGTGCAAATGTGAAGTTTGTGTAGTACATGCTAGCCATGCTGGTACTTGTAAAAGTCCGGAAGTCATAAATCCATCTGATACATGTATTGACAGTAGCAAAACTTCTACATTGACAGAAAGTGAAACTCTTGGTAGTGTCGACTCCACAATAGCTCCCTCCTCTGTTGATAGTGATGCCACCATTGATCCAGAATTGTCCTCATGTGATCTTTCTTATGATGAAAATGATAACTGTTTTGAGAAACACTCAGATTTACATGTATATGTAAATAAATGCGAGTCCACAGACACATCATCATGTTCATCTAAAGCATCTGTCAGCATTTTAAAACGGAAAAATAAATGTTGATAATAAATTCATTAAAAAAAATAAAGTTTCTTGGTTTCCTTCAATGAAACATGTACAGCTATCAAAAATATATTATTATCATGTAGATATTTTATGCTTTACTTAAGATATACATGATATAGAGGAGAAACGGCATGAAAATACATTGCCCTAGAAAAATGATATAACATGTATAAAGCTTTGTAAACATACACTGATTAACATTTAGGCCAACACATTATCTTTAAAACCAATATCAAATTTATACCTACTGATAAATGTGAAATATGTGTCTAACAATTTTTTTGTTCATATTAATTAATGATTTTTAAAATAATATTGGTATCGATCCCTTCTGATCAATCCCCTCTGAATTTTATAAAATACATGTACATGACTGTATGGATGTGTATCAAAAACACATTATTCTATATGAATCAAAAATATCATGTATTACTTAAAAATGTGTTTCAACTTTGTCTATTAATTTAGAAAAAAAAAATTATAGGATATCGCATGGTTTGTAGTTGGATATGATTTTTATCCAACAAGTTGTGTGTTTTATATCCCCGAGCCTTGGCGAGTCAGATAAAATTATGTCCAACTACAAACCATGTGAAATTCTTTTTATCCTATGTTTTACATTTAGTTTTATACACTACATTCAATGTTTTACACTGTTTAATAAAGGAATTCACTTCATTTTACTTCATTACACAACACAAAAGCTATTTTGATTTCATATCTGTGGGATACGAAAACGGTATCACAAGCTTTATCAATGGGATACAGGGGTAAACATGGAATGCAATAGTTTAAAATATCTCATACTATGAAAATGTATGTTACACAAAGTTACAAATGCTTGCATATCATTTTCGAAATTTATTATTTTCCAAAAAGACAACTTTATAAAGAAAAAAAAGTCTGTTAAACCATAATATCTATGCACCATTCTGTTAAGCTAATACCTGCAATTATGCACTTGCAACCACCTGTTATATTATGGCATTGCACTTAAATTTTTAATTTGAATCATAATTGTTTACCAATATGGAAAAAAAAACTAAAATAAGTGCAAAGTTTTTGACTGATAACAGTTACTTAACATTTAATGAAAGCATATTTGTATATACTAGAAATAATAATTTTTCATTTTGCTTTTTGTTTGACTCGTTTTACAGCAAAAGAATAAATAATAAATATCTGACTGTTCCTCTTTATCTTCAAATTAAATATACTATCCTCAAGGTCATGAAAAATGGTGTCTATAAAAAATTGACAACTCTATCTGAATGAAGCTGATGTTCAACTTTGGCTTAAAACTTGAATACAATTTGTTGCAATTTTCATAATTCATATATTTTACATACATATATTATGGAAGGATATGATGTGTGTGTGACTAAGTGTGCTTGACTCCCGACATGAGAAATATAAATTTCGTCCCCTCCCTTTTCTTTTCAGTGTTTATAATTTGAGACACTCCCCTAAATTGCATGTCCTCCACATATACAGCCTTTAAATTACATAAACCTTGAAAAACTTAAATTTGTTTTTTCAATTCTTTTTAGCATGCAGAAGTTCACATTTGATTGATGGAGTATCATTTTCTGTTACATCACCTCACTTAAAAGGTAACTGATCAAGAAATCTCTTAGTATAAGGCCTTAAAAAAATAATTGTTTGATGCACTGTGACTGACCCATTTAAATATCCCCTACCCATTAACTTTTTTCAGCACACTAAATATTATATCTCTCTATTTATCTAGTGTGTTTTAAAAACAGTAATAAATTTCTGAGTCTGTGATTTTTATGACAGATTAATATCAATTTGATAAATACTAAAGGCAAAAAAACTATCCACCAATCCATCTTGAAAAATGTGGGTCTAAGTACAACAAACAAAAATATTTTTTATGATGGCCTAACATATTATTTTACACATACATGCATACCATGCAACAAATCACTTTGAATATTTTTTTTTCAAACAATGTCATTCATTGTACAACTAGTAAATCAAGGACTTTGCATATTGTAATATGCCATATTTCCTTGTAATATGCCATATTTCCTTCTTTCAAACATTAGGAAGTGAGGTAAAAATTAAGTTACAGTTTACAATTATTTTTTGAACTGTCAAACAAAAATGAATTTGATACAAATGAAAGAAATCTATGTTTCCTGTCGAGGAGTTGTTTCATTGTTTCATGAAAAAATGTGCGAATTCACAAAAACTGACCCGACTACAATGAACAAGTTTAGTTTATACAACAAAGCAAAACGTATGATACAGGAAATGAACAAATTGCGCAAAACTTCTAGCAGGAGAGATGAATATCATTCTTTTTGCTCCACTTCATTTGTTTTTCCTAAAACATCTGAACCTAAGAAAAATGTTTCCACACCAAACAATGAGATTAACAGTCTACATAATGAAATTCTTCAATTAAGAAATAAATTACAAGAAAAACAAACACAATTGTACAGAGCTACTGCAAAATTACAAAGAAACTTGAGAAAAATAACAAATGTGAGAAAAAATGTGAAAAATTTGCAAGATCAACTCTCCTTTTTAACATCAAAAAATGCCAAAACTAAAAAATCAAACAAATCAACACAGTGCAACTTAACAAAACAAACAATTTGTGATTTACAACAACAACTGGATATAATGAAGTTGAACAGTGAAAACAAAACATGTGATGAAAGTCCTTCCACCTCCAGGCCAATCATATTGAATGCCAAGGATACATCTCAAGGCAAACCTTTCTCTTCAAAATTGCGACAACTGTATTACTTCTTTAGAGCCAGAAATATTTCTTTAGAACACATTAATCCTTTAATTCAAGAAGTCCTTTCTTTAGTCGATGTTCAAATTTCTGATCTTCCTTCTGTAAGTACAATTTCCAACATGACCTGTGAACTTGGCATTTTGAGCCGTGCTCAAGTTGCAGAGGAAATCGAGCAGCAGTCAAACTTAACGTTGCATCGAGATGCTACGACAAAAAAGGGGAGGCATTATTACGGAGTTGAATTGTCAACAACTGAAAAAACGCTGACATTGGGTTTACGAGAAGTGGCAGATTCCAAAAGCTCCACATATGTTGACTGCACCAATGAAATTTTGGACGATACCATCAGTTCCGGTCAAGGTCAAATTTTAGAAAAAATTTCAAATTTCATGACGGACCGAAGTGCAACCGAGGAAAAAGTTAACAGAATTCTTGGATCCAGTGTGAATAATGACAAATACCATTCTTTTAAATGTGCAGTTCACCCCCTTCTCCAATTCTCAGATGTCTGTCTCAAGGAAATAAGTAACATAGAGAAAGAGCACAAATTAAACATCAATTCCTCTGCCTGGTCCGAATCAAACACGTCTTATCTTCTGCGTTCCGTGTCTAAACTTTTCCATAAGGATGGCCCGGGAGATCCTTTGTTAACATCCACCTATGTTAAAGATACTCTAAACATTTCAAAAATTCCTATCATGAATTACAGAGGCACCAGATTCAATACTGTTTTCTTCAATTCTGCAAGAACATTTTATCTCAAGAAACACATTTTGCAATATCTCTCTTCTACAAAACCATCTTTAAATCAGATGCAGAAATTCATTCTTTGTGCTTTACAAAATAAATTCATTCTGGCAATAGTGAGATGTCTTGGTATACTCTCCATCAAAATTACAGAACCTTACATGAGTATTGCAGAAGACAATAACATGTGTGCAAGCGACATGGGCACCATCTACAGAAGACTCGTTGAATTCCTACAGTGCTGCTCCGACAATCCACATCTCCTCCTCCACAATTCAGTGTCTCTACTGGAAGGACCATCAAATCTGATGAGTGATATTGAGCTGGAACTCTTCCAAGAATCTGATCTTGATTCACTAACATTGGATTTCATTTCCATATTCTGTAAGGCTCTCCGTGTCAAATGTGTTAAACTCTTTAGTGACTTTTTGGAAAATGGAAAATATTTCTCAGCATCTTCCACTTCATTTCCAGAAACTGCTTCCTGTCCTGCAAGCAATATAACAGTTGAACGACTTATGGCAAAATTAGATAACTGTGTTAAACAAGCACCAGTTGTATCTACAAACAATATTGAAAGCATTGTCATGTACAAAAACAACAAAACTCATGAGTGGTTAAATTCCAAAAAATCAACTTCAGAAATTATCACAACAGCTAGAAAATTAAAGAAATCGTACCTACAGAAAGCAAAACAGAGACAAAAATCATTACACCAAAAGCATATCAACATAATCAGAGAAAAACAGAAAGAAATCACCAAGAAAAGAGAAAAACAGCAGAAAAAAGAAATAATTTCAAAACAACATTTACAAAATTTATGGAAATCTGAGGATGAAATTTGGCTTGCTTTGAGATGCTTTTCTACCAAAAAGGAAAAAATTGCTGCAGTGAAAGAAAAAATAAATGCTATAAAAACTCTATGTATGAAAGAAATACCTACAGACAAAAAACATCTTACTCTCTTCAGTTCCAAAGGAAAACTGCTTTCAATTGAAACTCTAGTCTCTAATTATCTCCTCCTTATTGGCATTATTCCGACTCCCACATCTCATCAGAGTACTGGTCTTTGTGACAAGGCGTCATAGACATCAAAAGAAACAACCTGTGATAAAGTGTTTTTATGGTAAAAAAAAATTGACAGTTCAGAAAAAAATCAATTCTCACAAAAAAAATTTCACATTTGGGTATCATGGTATTGTGCAGACCATACAAAAAAAAATCATTAGAAATATCATCAGATTCAAACAATTCATTCCTAGAATTTCTAATTTTTTTTTATTAATTAACAGGTCTAGTGCAAAGATTATTTCTATAGCTATGTAGTTACTTATACCTACCCAAAGTACCTTTGGTAGTATTTTTACCTACTTTTAGCTATTTACATTTTGTGGCCAAGCACATGAACAGCACAATAATGATGAGCATCAAATTTAAAAATAGAGCCATACTGTTGATGAATACAACAAACTTTTGGCAAAAAAAATTACTTTGTTAATCAACAATTTTGCAAAGTAATCTATGCAATATTGATTCATTAAATCATTTGACCAAAATGTTTTTTTATTCATCTTCAGTGTGACTATATAAGAAAATCTGGTCCTCACTATATTGCGCAGTCCCTGAAATTTGCCATAAAATGTAAATGAAGCAAAATGTAGGTAAAAATTGCTTTTAATGTCTAAAGCTATTATAAGTAGAAATATACTTGGATTGGATCTGATTAAAAGGACTTCTTTTGTTAGATGCTATTCACCGAAGTATGGTATGCACAAAAGAAACTTACTTAATGTTTCCACCAGGGGAAAACAGTCACATAAAATGCATGAAATACCTGTAATTCTGTTTCTCCCATCATCCTTCATCCTTCCCCGTTCTTCTGTAAATCCTCACATTTTCACAAAATGAAGCATGTAAATCTGACAATCCTCCCATTATTGCATTTTTCCATTCTATTTCGCATATTTTTAATTTTTTCTGAGGTATATGCTAAAGTCATAAATATTCATAATATTTATAACTGCCAGATAAAGAAAAGAGTGCAATCTTTATATCAATATATAAGCATCATAAATAAATCTACATATCGTAAGATTCATTACTCAAGTGTCTAAAAAATGTGTTCAAATGTGTATTTCTTCAGATTTTAATCAATGATCTTCTTATCTTTCAGATTTCAAGGAAAAGAATTGACTTATTTACCACAGAGATCCTCTTCTGTGTACGCCGCCATCATCTTCCTTCCAACCACGCCAAGTAAGCCTCGCTTTCAATGAATTCGGTGTGCTAATTACACAAAAGGATCCAAATGCTGTGCAAATTTAGCTGCATTCGAACAATTAATTAATTTTGAGATGCTGATGCACATTGGATATTGATTTTCTCATTTTTTTCATCTTGGAAAGGAATATTTTCTGAGATAAATCCTTGAGATGTATTATTTTATTTAAAACATCTTATTTTTATTTTACTGTTTTATAATGCATGTAGCTGATTAAGGTAATTAGTGAGAACAAAAGATGTTGAAATAGACTATATATTATTTATATGCAAGGTAACTCTTGCATCACTTATCTTAGTCACTGTTTGAAGCTTTGAGTTATCCTTCTTTAAAACAGAAAAAAAAATCAATCCTATAAAACAATTTCTAATTTATTATTATTTCAGTCATTACACAAGTAAAATTCGGTTTAATTTTAATATTTCATGCACCTATGAGCCCATAAATTTATTTTTTTTCCCAATTAAAAACATATGAAATTTAAGTTGAAAGGCCTAGTATTTATAGTATTACATGTCGCGCTATTTTTAGCGCAGGGGCATGAGGAGAGTTATTCGTAATAAACAGGTTCTCGGCGGACTTTATGTTCTTATTACATCTATTAGAGCTCAGTGTCGTTTTTCTCGATCATTCGTTTCCCACGATTTTACAGATTTACGGTTTTAACTGTTTAATAAAGGCTAAATAAATCAAACACCATGGATTGTGTAAAATTTTGAGAATACCGAACATGAAAACATGAATATATATATATGTATGAGACTTTAGTTCTGCATATACTTCTCATCGAGTAAAGCGATTCCGTGGTCCAGTGGTCATGTCTCTTGCTTCAAATGTGAGAGGTCCCGGGACCGATTCTCGGTCGATCCTTTCTTTTTTTTTTTAATACTTTTTTTTTTACTAAATGATAGTATTCAGCATGTGAAATGAAAAATTTATGAGGTTATAAAATCATTATTACAGTGTGATAAATATTCCATATAAAAAGAATCTTATATACACATAATAAAGAATAAGCAATCAAATCTTTATATGCATATTGACATACATGTATTTTATTTGCTTCAGTATACATGTATACATTTAATAATTCTACAAATTTAATTATTTACAACTTCAGTCAGGGGGATCCGTCACCCCCCCCCCCCTCCACGAACTGCGCATGGTTTACCTTTTTCCTAAGCGGGGGACACAAATTCTCTGAATTAGCTTGTTTATATTTGAAAACTCCATTGTTTTAAAGATCTGTGAAATAAGTAATGATAGTTGATGTTGAAGACTATCTTCAACATATATATTTTAGCTAGGATTTTGGCATTAATAGGAAATAATCGAATATATAAAGCCAAGTTTAAACATATTTGTTTAACTATATAGATTCTGCACAATTTCCGTACAACTTCGACAAAAAGAGGAGGGTTGGGATATCTATACTGAAAAAACTTTTTTATCTACGTCCAAGATTTTTCAGACGCAACACCCTCCCCCCATAAAGGAATCTTAAGGTCATCTAATACTAGTATGTACATGTACTTCTTTAAAAATATTGGAAAAACATTACTTTCTTATTTATGATTTTTACAAGATTTTTAACTAATAAAAAACTATTCCTTTATTTAACAAAAAAGTTGTTTTTGGATCAACCAGTAACATAATGCGTTTGAAAATATTTAAGATGGATTAAAAATGAATTTTAAACTATGATTTCAATGCCAAATTGTACACTGTACCCGCCAATTTCTTTATTGACATGAATCATGAAATATTTTGAAACTAAGACATGTGAAGTATATAAGCTGTGTATTTCAAATATCGCTATAACTCCAACCAAAGTTTTTGCGGACAAACAGACAAACATACAGATGGACAGACTTTGCTCAAATTATATGCCCCAAAATCATTCAATATCGTCAATGTTTATTATTATATTTCTTTAAAACGTGGAATAAAATATATACCTGATATGATCTACGACAGAAAAGTAGGCGTTGGCAACACCTGCCATGCAAGACAGACCTCTATCTGAAAAAAAATAAAATTATGTGCAATTAATCAATGCGATTTAAATTTATTCCAGAAGTGGATAGATGTATGTAGAATCAAAATGTTCGTCTGATAAGACTTCTTATCCTGTAAATAGCTCTAACATTGAGCAATTCGTATAAAGATAACCAAATAAACCAAAGCATTATTCGGTCCATTTCCTAAAGAAAATATAAATATAATAACATATATGCTTTCCAAATTTGGTGGAAATATTTTGATAAATTTAAATGATTTTATTTAACAGTTTAAAATCATCATGATTTTTTCAAACTTATCCAGAATTGAAAATTTCAATAATCCGACCGGGGAGCAGGTCAAAATTCATTAATCCTCAAACAACACACTAAATAAACATTTTAATGTCTGTATTCATTTTCTCTGTTAAATGGAACAATAAAAAAAAGAAGAAAATTTGTCCTCATCTTTTAAATCAAAAATGTTAAATTGATTCACATTCCAAATTATGGCTTCATCTTTTGCTTCGTTGAAAAGAAATCAGTCTGAGAAGATAGATAGTCTTCATTGAAAACGACAAAAATGACGTTGTTGAAAGTCACAGAGCAGCAGAAATGGATAGAAGTTTGTATTATACTAGGGGAAACACATGAATAAACTCATTTTCATAATTTTTCTGTTAACTTGAAGTGGTAATTACTGGAAATTTTGATTATCTCCCTTTACAAAATTGGTTTATTTCTCATCTTATATTTTGTGTCTACTAAAATTATGTCATGGTTATTAATAATCTCTAGAATTTCAAGCAAATTATTAAATGTCACAAAGGTGGCAACACACGGCAAACTGTTTCACAGATTTTTTACACATTGAAGGAGGATAAGAATAGTGTTCTAGTGTTGAGGGGATTATGGAAAGAAATAAGCTAGTTGATGGGTATACGTAACCGGGCTATCAATATACTTCTTGCATTAAAATAAAGATGTTAAAGGAATATAAAAGAAATATGTCACAATGAAGTCGTGCACGTGTTTTTAAATTGTACAGATGGTATTTTAGCGAATGAAACTCTGTATAGGACGAGAACAAACATTGGAGAAACGGTTTATCCGGTAAAATCTGAACAAAAACTCTAAAACGTTCAACGTCAAGGAAAGACATAGGTGCTTTAATAGTGTTGTTTAACCTGTGTGAACAAAGTTAAGTATTCATACATTAACAAAGGAAACCATACAGCAATTTAAGTTTAAAGTGATCGAAAAATATTTTTCAATGAGTGAGTATTGAATTTTACTCTGTGAAATGTAGGGGGTTATATTTTTAGAATTCTTAACTTATGTTTTGACATTACATTGACGTTAATTGTGCTCCGCGGGTACAAAACGTGTTGATTTTAAAATAAAGAAAATTGATTTCTGTTAAACTGAATGAAATAAAACTGAACAAATCAACAAAATAGACGTATTTCCATATTACATATCTAATCGTGCAGATTTTAAATTTCTTGAAGGTAGTAAAAACGGAGATTGACATCGTCCACGAACTTTTCGATCAATACTTGTAAGTATAAAAAAGCGTTAAAATAATCCTGCAATTAATCTTCAATTGAATACAAACAAAAAAAAAGAAGGTCAAGGAAAGAAAAATTCAGTTTACAGTAATGTTTTAAGTACTGAAAGAGGAATAATTAGAGTAACAGTTTTTGAAAAAAAGACATAGTGCTCAACCTGATTAAAGGAAGGAAAAAAGGGAAAAAACTAAAAAAAAAAATAATCTATTACCTTTCTCCAGTACATGAGCATGGAGTTCAAATGCAGACTATGGGGATTTCTGTCATGGGCTGGGCATGGTGAGAGTCATTCATATGATTCAGCTGAATAAAGATTCATACAGACAGACTCACGAATGAAAACAAAGTCTTCGTGTTCTTCTGTTATATAAGTAGGTTTACATCTGAATCCGGAAATATATTCCACCGGTTTATGAAAAGTTTGTGTTAATTGCTTCAGAAATGATTCAATCTTATTGCGAATTGTCAAATTTTCATCTCTTTTTAGTTGTTTTGAGTTGCGTGTATAAATTTGAAGGTGAATTTGTGTATTGCTTACACCCAAGACTATTTGATGGAACCTGTCCTTGTACTTCAGTAAAACAACGTTTTTGAAAAAAAGTGGAACATTTTTCTCAATTTGTACGTCCTATTCTTCTAAACTTGCCACAACAAGTCTAAAGAAATAGAATTGGGGCAAAAACTTTGGAAATCTAAATTTCAAAACATTAGTATGACTTGACTTCAATTCTTGACTGTTCAATTCGTGAAACCCCGTGGGGATCCGGGTTAGAATAGGTCCTCAGTACCCCCTTGCTTGTCGTAAAAGGCGACTAAATGGGGAGGTCCTTCGGATGAGACCGTATAAAACGTGGCCCCGTGCCACAGCATTTGCGGCACGATAAAGAACTCTCCCTGCTCAAAGGCCGTAAGTGCCGAGCATAGACCTAAATTTGCAGCCCTTCACCGGCAATGCATATATATGATGACGTCTCCATATCAGTGAAATATTTTGTAGAGGGACGTTAAACAGTAAACAATCAATCAATCAATCAATTCGTGAAAAGTCATTTTTTGTCGGTTCAAGACTGTTCATACTTGGTGCGTAAAGTTTCCCACCTTCTCCAAGTCGCTGCATATATAACAGAACCTGATTGTGATATGTCTTCATCTCTTGCACATGTAATTCTTCTCAAATCTTTCCAAAATGCTTCTCTTCTAGCATGCCTGTTTCATTAAAGGCCTCCCATTCACTCCTCAAAACATTTGATTGGTGATTCCGATCAGTCAAGATATTTTTATTGCATCATCAAACCATTGGACATTTAGAATAATAATTTTTTTTTAACCTTTTTCATTGAAAAATAATATTTTGCCACAAATGTGAAAGAATCGTAGCATGTCCAAAAGATCTTCATTTT